TAGTCTTGGGTTGTTATCTGATGTTACTGATTTTCTAACCAGAGGACTCCCTTTAGTATTTCTTGTAATTTTGGTTTGGTTTTTGCAAATTCCCTAAACTTTCATTTATCTGCAAATGCCCTAATTTTGCCGTTATATTTGAGAGACAGTTTTGCTGGATGTATAATTCTTGGCTGGCAATTTTTTTCCTTTAAGTTTTTATATATGTCATCCCATTGCCTTCTTCCCAGCATGGTTTCTGCTGAGTAGTCCAAGCTTATTCTTTTTGACTCTCCTTTGTAGACGACTTTTCGTTTCTCCCTAGCCTCTCTTAAAATTCTCTTTATCTTTGGTTTTGGCAAGTTTGATTATAATATGTCTTGGTGACTTTCTTTTGGGATCTACGTTATGTGGGATTCGATGAGCATCTTGGATAGATATCTTCCACGGTATTAGGGAAGTTTTCTGCCAACAAATCTTCAACAGTTCTCTCTGTATTTTCTGTTATCCTCCCCGTTCTGGTACTCCAATCACTCGTAGGTTGTTCCTCTTTATATTTTATAGAGTCCCACATAATTCTTAGGGTTTCTTATTTTTTTTAATCCTATTATCTGATTTTTCCTCAAATAAGTTGGTGTCTAAGTGCTTTCTCTTCAGTCTCACTACTTCTGACTTCCGTTGCCTCAATTCTGCTCCTATGACTTTCTATTGAGTTGTCTAATTCTGAAATTTTATTGCTAATCTTCTGGATTTCTGATTGCTGTCTGTGGTTTCTTGCAGCCTGTTAAATTTGTCATTATGCTCTTCTTTAATCTTTTTAATTTCTTCTATTGGTTGTTCTGTGTTTTGCTTAATTTCCTTCCTAATTTCTTGTTCTGTATATTATTCTTTTGTATTCTGCCTCTGGTAATTCCAAGAAGTTTTCCTCCTCTGGAAAATTTCTAGATTCTTTATTTTGGGAGCTTGCTGAAGCCTTCATGGATTGCCTCTTTATGTGATTTGATATTGACTGTTGTCTTCGAGCCATTAAGAAGTTATTATATTTATTTATGTTTGCTTACTGTGTCCTAGCTTCTTGTTTTGATGTGCCCAAATAGGCTACTCGTAGGAGCTAGTTTGATTATTGGCATCTTTGAAGCTCTAATGTCCTGTGACCAGGTGGTTAGATCTGTTACTAGGTCTGTGAGCTCAGGAGTCTGCCCACTCCTCCTGTATGGATTCAGCTCAGGTGCCCAGGTAGATGGCCACCAAGTGTGTGGTGTAGGCTGTCACCTACAGTCCTAGACGGGCATGGGTGATTGTTGTAGGCACAGGCATCTGGCTGCAGCAGGGGGACATACTCTGAGCAAGGCAGGGGGCTGACGGCCGCCCCCAAGTGTCCAGCAGGAAGGCATGTCCCTGTTCCTTAGAGTGCGTGGGTGGATGGGTTTTGCAGCCAGACTATGAGCACCCAGTGCTGTTGGCTGTAAGGACTCGGGAGTACCTCTTATTCTTGGGCCCCTGTTGCAGGTGGCTAGGTGGCACGGGTGGAGCCACCAGTCCTCAGGCCCCTGATGTGGGTAGGTGAAGACCCTGCTTAATGGGCAGAGCAATGTCAAATGTCACGAACCTGCCACTTCACAGCTGAAACAGTTAAAGTTAGACTTCAGGTATATACCGTTTTACTGCAGTAATGAGGGCCTATGCTGTTGAAATGGGCCCACACAAGTCTCTGCAGGGGGAAAGGCACTCAAAGTCTGTGGATCTCTTATGCCTGTGCCTAGGCAAAGGAGCTGTGCCTACCCTGAGTTCCTGGCTTAGGGGAGCCGGAAGTTTATTTTTTCCCGTTTGTTAATTTGTTCACTCTCCAAGGCCAGGAGAATGGCTCAGGGCGTGTGACAGATCCTACTTCCGGCCCAGGGGACTAAGCAATTGCTGAAGCCAGTCGGTGACCTACTGCAGAGCAGGGAGCGGGGGAGATAAATGGGAGAGAGGTGTTTCCCTAAGGGGGGTGTTTTTGACTTGCACGGTAGGCCGTAGGCAAGTACTTAATCTTTACCGATCTAAGGCTGCATCTTACTGGTTCTGGGCGGCCAAGTAGAATTTCTACAGCTGGGTCTCTCCCGCTGCAGAATTCACCTCCCATGTGCTGCTGCTTGCCTGCCTCACGGCTCCCCTAAGAGCTGATCTGGCATTAAGGGCTCAGGCTCTCACCAGGTCAGGTCTGGCAATTCCTCACTGCTTCCGAACCGTCTTTGCCTCCCCCTGCCACTCAGTCCGGTTCCTCAACTTTGCCTTAGATGTTCAGGGCTCCCAGATTGTCATATATAATTGATTCACTTGTTTTTTTGGGTCTTTGTTGTAAGAGGGTCGACTGGAAGCGTCTGACTACTCCGCCATCTTGGCGCCCTGCCTCACTAAAGTTTTTTAATATGTACTCCCCAATATGAATACTACTTATCAGTGTTATTATGCATGCACATTTGCACTAATGTGTATATTATAATCTTTTGTGATGTTGAGAAACGAAGGTCTGGTTCTTAGCTGCGTATAAATTTGTCTCTAAGGGCTATCATAACTGACAGGTATCTCAGAGATACATAGAGAAGTACATTGTTGATTGTATGAAGTATCTGTTCTTCATTTTTCATTCTCCCCCACCAATAATGCAAAGGTTTTGGTTCAAATCCAGCCAGTGAATTTTTCTCTTCCTTGATTGTCAAACAGGTATTCTTGGAAACGTTTCAGAAGAAATTAAATTGTTGTGTTTTTAGCAAATGCATTTGAAGCTCTGAAAAATCTAGATTTGGAAGATTTTCAAATGGGCTGGAACATTCTGTTTCCAAATTTTTTAAGTGTTAATTGTAGTTTTTATAGGAGACACATGTTGTTTTCAACAACAGGGTCACATAGATGTAATCAAATCCAAACATCTTTTCAAAATGTTCTATCCGTAGAACAAGTTTAATAAAAAAAAAATTTCTTCAAACTCACTGTTAAAATGTTGCCTTTCATTTAAAGCAAGAGATTAAGTGTATTTATTTTTTAAAACATCTGTTAGGTTACGTACTAGTGACAGCAGTTTGCCATCTCAGCAAAGGTTGGTAAATAAGGAACATTTTTCTTTTTGTGAAAAATTCATGACTCACCTTTAAGTTCTCACAACTTTAAGTACTGTGCCATTTGAAAGACTGGAGATTTGAGTTCACCCAGAGGCACCTCAGAGAAAGGCCGTGCTGATCTACTTTCAAAAGATCAGCCACTGAAAACCCTATGGAGTGCAGTTCTGCTGATACACATAGGGTTGTCATGAGTTGGAATCGACTCGACAGCACCTGGTTATAGCATTAGATAACCAGCATACCTTTATGACTATTACCAGTTTTTTTTGCAGACTATTCAATATCATCTATAAATCCACTTAACTAAGCAAATATAAGCAGCTAAATGTTGAAAAACTCTAAAAGGAGTGACACTACCACTGTCAAACTGTGTAATAGAATGTCCTTTGCTCACCATATCTTGCTCACTGTATCTGACACAACTATTTGGTTTATGGACAGAGTCAGCACACCAAAAGTCTCCATGATAAATATTGTTACATTTAAAGAAAAATTATACATAGAAGTTTTTAATATTTTTTCCCAGACCTCAGTGGATCACTCTCAGGTGTGAGCACCCCACTTTAGCAGTGGCGTCACTAGGAGGGTGCAGACCGAACCAGTGACACTGTCAGAGGGGGTGACACCAAAATGACTATCTATAAAATTTTTGTGCAGTGTTTCAGCAGAAACTTAGTATTTTTTATAAAAATATCCCTGTAGTTAGTTATAACAAAAACATTTTTTGTAAGCCGAGCTTACACGTTATCAATACACCCACAAAGCTAAAACTATGCTGATTTACGTTTTGAACCTTTTAGTGCACTCTGGTCAGAGCTGTCATTATTACCCAATTACAACAACTCTTCCAATCACATGGTTTCGTCTGCACTCGCTACAAGCATGTGCTGTTGTTTTTGTTGCTGCTGGTGTTTTTATAGTCGCTGATTTTGTCAGGTTTTCTGGTGTTTTAGCTACAGTATTGTAATTAGTATATGAATTTATATCAATGAGTTTTTTGAGAATGAAGTAGTAATTAAAGGAAAAGGAGAAAAATCAAAAAAGGCTTCCTCTCAGTTATTAATAATGTAACTAACGTCATAATTCAGTGTAGAAAGATTTTATAAAACAATTTTGTTAGTATTCATGTATCTAAAAAATACTACATTTAAGCAGTTTACAACTACATTTATCACGTATTATTCTATGATTAAAATTGATAATAAACATTATTAAGGATTCTGTATGGTCTGGTATAGGAGGAGGCCTATGGGGGGCGGGGTGACACCAACCCTAGTGACGCCACTTGCGATTTCTCCTACGTAGTGTAAGTTAATCATTCTAACATAGCTTCACTGTGCAATGCTTCAAGACCCTTTATGGCTTTCACTGTCAAATTAATGCAAGATCTTAGGCTGGAAAGGTAGATTCAGGTCAGATTTTTGTCTTTTGGTTGGGGGGTGGTTAGATTGGTGCCAGGCTGTGTTTTTCTATGAGAGATCCTCAGACGAAGAGATTTTTTTTTTTTTTTTTCCTATCACATGGAATCTAACATGGTTTTAGAAAATATAAATGGGTAAAGGTTTCTCTTCCCTTTTCTTGGCCTCACAAAATCTGGCTTCCGGGTTGCTAATTTTTTGAGACATCTTAAATGTATGTAGACCTGCATGCTTTGTATTATCTATCAAAAGTTTTGTTAGAATTTAATTTAGAATGCAACTTACAAAACCACAGGAATTTTAAATTGAAAGGTTCCCAAGAAGTTTTGAAAGGGAAGGAAAAAGCTTTCTGGTTGGAGAGACAGAAGCCCTAATAATATCAAGAGGAAAGAAATGATTACATCACATCTTTCTTATGCAAACTTGGTCATCTCTTCCCACTTCTGCAGGCTGAAAAATGAGTACTAATGAAGCAAATGGGTTTTCTCTTTTTTTCTTATAGGAAAAGGCATTAATAGCTGCTCAGCTGGACAACGCCATTGAAAAGGAATTACTGGAGAGACTGAAACAAGATACGGTGAGAAAGTTAGGCGCTTTGGGGTACAGCTTTTATTTTTTAGGTGTCAGTATCATGCTAGGAAATATTTGGAAATCTATTTTCTTTTTAAAGATGTTGGGAAGGTCTCCACTCTGGTTTTATCCCTGGAATAAAATAAGTATCATTTAGGCCTTGGTTTCCTCATGTCAGTTCACTGATGCAGGCATATGAAGTGCTTTGGTTAGCTTGATAGCCTCCATTCAGTGTGAGAGACCGTGCCCTTTCTGCCGTTCTTCCCAGCCTCTGCTCCTAAATGCATCGATTCCAGAGCTCTGTGTAGAAGCCGTGGTTTTGCTCCTCCTACATACTACCCTTGTCTTTTTATTCTCTTTTTAAAAACTAATGTCACTTATGGACACAACATGAATAAAATTTATTTTTTCTTTATTATTTCTCCTTCATCAGCAAAATTACATTTGTCCCAGTTCATGGGTTTTATAGACTTAAATTTTAAGTGATCTGGTTCCATTCTCATAGAAGTTACCTGTTTGTTTTTTTATTGTGCTTTAGGTAAAAGTTTACAGCTCAAGTTAATTTCTCATACAAAAATCTACACAGATATTGTTACGTGATGATTAATTGCAGTCCCTGCAATGTGACAGCAGAATCCCCCTTTCCAGCCTGGGTTTCTTGTGTTCGTTCCTGTCCCTTCCTGCCTTCTCATCCTGCCTCCAGACAGAAGCCGCCCATGTGGTCTCATGTATTTGACTGAACTAAGAAGCACACTCCTCACGAGTATTATTTTTTGTTTTATAGTCCAGTCTAATCTTTGTCTGAAGAATGGGCTTTGAGAATAGTTTTAATTCTGGGTTAACAGAGCATCCGGGGACCACAGTTTCAGGGGTACCTGTTAGATATTAATCATCAGATTAAGTATTTTCAAATTAAACACTAAGGCAGAAAAATATGTTGGACAGTGGAACTTCAAGTGTAATATCTAAATTTAGTTGAAGCCAGTCTGTGTTTATGTTATTCAGTATGGCGACATCTACAACTTCCCCATTCACGCCTTTGACAAGGCCCTGGAACAACAGGAGGCAGAGAGTGACTCTTCAGATGCTGAGGAAAAAGATGAAGATGATGATGATGAAGTAAGCCTTGTTTGCTTCTGCTTTGTCAAGCAGAAACCTATACAGGACTAGGTCTGTTTTTATGTACTTGAGGGACGGAATATCATCTCAGTCCCCTACCAAGAAATAGCTTTTTGGTCATTTTGTTCTGTCATGAGACTAATTTTGGTTCAGCAGAGGCTGCTTTGTTCTCCAGGCTCAGCCAACAGACTATTTATGCACTGACGACTTTAATCTTATTTATTGGCTTCTAAAGTTACTCCTGCCAGCTAACAAATGAAAAATCCTCACAGCTAATAAAGTATATACCACCAAGGAGCCTACTGAAATTTACACCGGGTTTACTCTCACTATTAAACAGGAGAGGTATTTGAATGGACAGTATTTTTAGGAAAAAGGCTAATTTAACAAGTAGATCTTTAATCATATGGGACACTCAGGCTATTACCTATTTGTAAAGCATTTTTATGGTATGTGAATTACTAGTTTTAGTTGAATGTACCACGAATTATTTATAAAGCCCTTCCTACGTACTGATTTTAGTCAGTTAAAATGAGGACATTGTACCTCCAATAATTTAAATCAAACATGAGAATTGTTTGATATTTCTAAAAAAAATTTCTTAATTCAGAAGTATTAGATTTTGGAATAACTAGATGTTGGTTGCAGAGTAAGTAGACTCTGATCCTAATTGTCATTTATGTACTTATTTATCAAAGAATAAAACTAGATGTCTAAACTGAATTTTCATTATGTATTTTGAACCTAACAGTTACGTTTTACTTTAGGATGTGGGAAGAAGAGAATTTGTGGAAGATGAGAGTGACATAAGTGACTTTGAGGTGAGGCGGCCTTCAGCAAAAATAGGGAAGCTTTCTGAACATGCACAGAAGCGGACGAATTCTCCAGTTTGTTCTCAATTCTGAGAACAGTGAAGGGAGTTGGGAGAACTAATCTAGCATCCTTTTCCCTCCTCTTTTTTCTGTCCCCATACTAGGATATGGATAAATTGGATGCCAGCGGTGATGAAGATGAGGACGATAAATCTTCCAGTGAGGAAGAGAAAGCCCTGAACGCTAAACACAAAGGCAAAACCCCCTTGAAAGGACCTTTGCGGAGAAAACGAGCCTACGTAGAGATAGAGTATGAACAGGAGACAGAGTCCACCACCAAAGCCCAAACCACGTGATTTGTCTTCATTTATAAACAGGACTGAACATTTTTAACTTCTTCCTTTTTTATATCTTAAACACACAACACACCTCAAGTTTTTGCTCTTTTGTGTTGTATTTAACACAGTATCTGTGTTCTTAATATTTATGTCACTTCTGCGGGGCAAGAAATCTGGGAAGAAGTGGAGGAAAGTCTTTAAGCTGTAAACAGTATTTTTATAGTACTTTTGGCGTATGTGTTACAGTAACAGCTTGAGCCCAAGAAGCTTAACAGATGAGTTCTCGAGGCTGGGACGGGATTGTGGGTGTAAACATTTCTAAATCTGAAATGTAACTTACCCTTGTTTCCTTTGTTTGCCTCCCTCCCTCCCTCTGAAATAGACTTTCCTTTAGAAATGGCAGGACTTCAGTCTTTTCTCGCCCTCCTCTCCCCACTCTCATGGGGGCAAAAGGAAATAAAAAGATCTAACTTAACAGCGCTTGGTGTAAAAATACCTTTTTCCATAAACAGCGCCATTCATACAATCTGAGACAGACAGAAAATCTTTTCATCGTTGGGTTAAGTAACACAAGGCTTAGTTCCATGGTAGTCAGCGCCTTCAGAAGCCTGCTGCACTTCTCTGATACAGTTCACCACCGTGCCATCTTCACAGCTTTGGGGAATTGTGGCCAGGAGACCCTGAAACAGGAAACCAAACAGGCTTTGATTTTTTATTTATTTATTTTTCCCCCTTCTACCTTGGTTTTTCATTTTGGGTACCATACTCTAAGAAGGAAGGAATGGATGACACCGGGGGCCAGTTCACAGAATACTAGTCAGGAGGTGCTACTTTAAGGCCTGTACTGGTGTGCATGGAAAATGTCCTGCTGGCTCATGCAGCAGCAGCTCAATACCAGCCAAGGGCAAAGGAAGTTGAATCTTGGGCTTTAAAACTGCCTGAAATTAAAGAGCCGAGATAAAATAACTTTAATAAATAAAACAATAAACTATACTACTGTAAGCTAATTATTTTTAGGATATGAATTTCTTTTCATTCCTTTATAACTTTCAATGAAGGATGTCTCAATGGGGTAAGAAGTGAGGCAGTAGTTCATTACATACACGCGAGTATACGCTGTGGCTTGGAGAAGCTAACTCTCGTGCAGTATGGGAACAGAGGAAGAAATTCATATGGATAAGTAAAATTACGAAAAAGCATCTACCTAAGAGAGAGTTGCCCCCAAAAAAACTGGAAAACATTTCTGATACTGGAATAGTTCCATCCTATTGAATTACTTTATCAGTATTATTATTCCTTCGTGGCTTACAGCCATTATTTCATCTTTTTTTTTTTTTAAATTAAATTCAGAAAACTAGAACAGAGCTTAAATTTTATAAACTTAATCATAATGCTTCTGCCCATTCTCTTGTCCTAGCCCCAGAAACATCTGGTGATTCCCTTGCCTTTTGGTTTGAACTATTTGGAATGGCTTTGAAGGAAGAATAAGGTATTGGTTAAACTCTGTTGAAGGCTAAGGGCTCAGAGGTGGAGGCCTGAAACTCTCCATGTTTATATCCAGATGTGGTCACGTGTGTAAACAGTAAATTATAATCAATCACAGGAATTACCTAAGGGTAATGAGGCCCAGTTGAAACAGATTTGGGGACTCTCTCCCTTACCATCACTCGCCCTTGTGAGCTGTGGTCCAAGAGAATAAGGCAGTCTGTGGCCTCCTCTAACAAGGCGGTCTTCACAGGCTCAGGTGTCAGGTTTGGGTCCCTTGCTACATCACAGATCAGTTTCAGGAGAGCCTTCAGTAAGACCACAAGTCTGCAGGAAACCCTGGAATCAAGAAGAAAACCTAAATAGTCTAAATCCTAAGACACTAAAACTGGAAGGGACTTCAAAAACTTAGCCAGTGCAAAACTCTCATTTCATAATTGGAACTGCAGTCAAAGTTAAGTGACTTAAAGACCACAGAACTGGGGGCAGAACCAGGGACCAGACTCCAGCTTTCTTAACCTCAAGCCCCTGCTCTTTCTATAGCGTACTGCCTACATGCACACAGAGACACACTCTGGCTGCCCACGTGTTCTATCCAGCTTAGCTGTATCTATTATAAAGAAACAGCCCCTTCCTTAAGGGCTGAAAAAGAGGAACCAGGTTCTCCCCTTACTAAGGGCTGATAAACTTTCCTGCTCTATTCTTCACTCCCTGTACCCCACCTCCTCCATACATACCAACCCATCGTTGAGTTGATTCTGACTCAGCACCTGTCTTGGTCACCTAGTGCTGCTATAACAGAAATCCCACAAGTGGATGGCTTCAACAAAGAGTTTACTCTCACAGTCTAGGAACCCAGAAGTCCAAATTCAGGGTGCCAGCTCTCTAAAGGAAGGCTTTCTATCTCTCTCAGCTCTGGAGGAAGGGCCTCATCATCAATCTTCCCCTGGTCTAGGAGCCTCGCAGTGCAGGGACAATGGGTCCAAGGGATGCACTCTGCTCCCAGCACTATTTTCTTGGTTGTGTGAGGACCCCGTCTCTCTGCTCGCTTCTCTCTTTTGTATCTCAAAAGAGACTGACTTAAAACACTAATCTTGTAGATTAGGTCCTGCCTCATTAACATAACTGCCTCTAATCCTGCCTCATTAACATCACAGAGGTAGGATTTACAACACACAGGAAAATCAGATCAGATGACAAAATGGTGGACAATCACCCAATACTGGGAATCATGGCCTAGCCAAATTGATACATGTTTTTGGGGGACACAATTCAGTCCATAACAGCAATCCTATAGGACAGAGTAGAACTGCCCTATAGGGTTTCCAAGGCTGTATCTTTACAGGAGCAGACTGCCACACCTTTCTCCCACAGGGGAGTTCTGAACCACTGACTTATTCGTTAGCAGCCGAGCACTTAACCACTGCACCAACAAGGCTCCTTCATACATACACATGGCATATTCATTTTCTAACCTCCCTACCTTTGTCCACATATCCCTTCTACTTGGAATCTTGTTTTCTGCTCTTTTAAGACCTGACATAGAATTAATTTGATTCAATCTCATTTATCCATCTATTCATTCTGTTCTACTCCATTCATTCTTCAAATATCTGGGTACTTATTATTAGGTACTGAGTATACCTCAGGAGACTAATTGATGTGGTCTCCCATCTACTTGGAGCTTACAGTTAAGTAGGGGAGAAAGACAGTAAACAAATGCAGTCTAATTACAAGTAAGTGCTATATAGGAGAATTCCATGGAACGTTAAGTGACTAAGGAAAAGACTGTCATGGGGGGAAGTTACTCTGGATCCCTTTTACAAGAAAGTGAGAGAAGGTGGTCCCAAATAGATACCTATGTTGCTGGGGTACTATATTCTCTAGCTGAATTAAACTTTCAGTTATTTCATGCAAGAAAGCCTTTTGCTGACCAGCAGTTTGGGTTCATGTGTATTGTTCCCGACACCTACCTCAACCCAGAGTTGGAATGCTTTCTAAGCAAGCACATCCTAAGTCAGTATTCTCCTGGCCACTGCTCTGCAGATGTTAAATGGTGGGCTATGAGGTGCTCCGTTCTCAATCAGGCTTGAAGAACTTCACTAGGTTGAATAAGGTAAGCATTTGCAGCACTTCTAAATAGCCCTTAATATTCTAATATGCAAAATAAATCTAGAGAGATGTACAACATCTAGACTTTCCCACTTCCTGGACCACAGAAAATGTATTTATTTTTTGTGGGACATCAAAGAGTACCGGGATGGGTATTCTTAGAACACCAGTCTAAGCCATTCTTAGGATACACTTGAGTTTAAAAGAGAAGTGATGTGATAGTGTCAGAATGTGGAACTGATGCCTGGTGAAAGGATCAAACTATAAGCACCTGAAGTAACTACACATTTCTCTTTTCAGTGCCACTGTCTCAGTTCAAAATGCTACAGGTGTGTGAAAATGAGAGCGATTCAAATCCACAGTATGTCCTTAATTCTTTGTACTGCATGTACATCTGGGCACACTGTGAAGAGAAAATCAGCTGAGTTTTGCCCTTTTAGCAAACCTGTCTACTTGGCTGCTATACCTGGGCCAAGTATGCTGGATAAGAAGTTTTAGGGTCTCCAGTATTTTCAATCTCGCCTCCTCCTCTGGTCCATCATAAACCTCCAGATAACCAATGATGACTCGCTCCAGTCTCTTCAAGTGCCGGACAGTTAGGATCCCCAACCTAAAAATGAAAGCAAAAAATGTGATGCCAAAGAGTTGAAATAGGGGTGTATGCCCAAACCAGCAGCCCAGGGCCTCACCTCTTCACGAAAGCTGGTAGGTTTCTTGCATAGGTCCTGCGTAAGAGAAGGCGGTGCTCTGGTTCCATGTGGGTCAGGATCAGTTGCAGGACCTCATCACACTGCGTGGTGGGTCTAGCCATATCTCCCTTCCACTGCACGGCTTTCTCCAGGATGGGGAATAAATCCAGCAGACACAGGAGCACAGCCTGGGAGGAAGGGAAGGGAAGGAACCATACAGTTTATCCACTTTGCATTAACTACCCTTGCTGATTTTTCTAGGAATGTCATTAATCTGCTGTCCATGTCAGGATTCTAAAAGACACTAAAAATAATACACGAAATGTACATTACTTTATATTTTACACTCCATCTCCAAATGGCAGTCTCAAATAAGTTAATACCTTCCCTTCAGCATTGTTCTTTGCTAATTTGTAAAATGGGAACAAGTGACACGGGCACGTGGCAGACCCCAGAGTCGAGACTTTAACCTAGATTTTAAGTCTAAGGTTAGTGATATTTACATGTACTTACAATAAAACTGTTCCTAAACAGAATCTAAGATGCTCCTAATTTGTGTCAAATCTGACCACTTAATCTGCAGTTTTCAGTGTCTAGGCTCTCCTGGGGCATTTGGTTTTTCTCTTGTTTTAAGTATCTTTTCTCCAACATCTCAAGAACCCCAAACTTTCTGGCTATTAGTACCTGAATTCTCAATACCCAAAATAGTATTTAAAAAAAAAAGGAGGGGGGAAATAAAATGAGAAACACGGTTGTTTCCACCTCTAATTTTACATAAATTGTTTCCTGTCTTTACAATGTTCTTCCCTCTAAGAAACTCATCCTTCATAAGCAAGTATCACCTCCTTCCTGAAGCTTCCTAAACCACCCCCAACATCCCAAACCTGGTTAGCTCACCATTGCTGTATACTCCCTGCACTTTATACAAACCTTTTTTTCCTTATCACTTTCTACAGTAGATATATGTATACATATTTATATATTTATATAAATGTCTCTCCAAAGTATTTTTAAAAGTTAGAAATCCCATCTGGGGTTCTACAATGGAATGAATGGGATCTACAATGGCTCCTGACATACCTGTAACCAAAAAACTAAATCTGTTGCCATCAAGTCGATTCCGACTCAGTGACCCTACAGGACAGGGTAGAACTGCCCCATAGGGTTTCCAGGGAGTGGCTGGTGGATTCAAACTACCGACCTTTTGGTCAGCAACCAAGCTCTTAACCACTGCACCACCAGGGCTCCACCTGACATACAGTAGGTGCTTAATTAATGTCTATTGGATGAATAAATGACATGCTAAATATCCAATATACAAGTAGTTTCCAGTGTACATGTTGATATAAAGCAACACAGAAGAAATAACAATAAAAATAGAACTTTTTCAGACATAAAGCTGCCCCCAAGTGATAAACAATTGACCTAAATGAGAAAAAGAACTGGCTTTTCTGTGGAGACTCAGGAATATGGATACCCGCTTGGTGTTGAAATATTTTCACTAGTCATTTACCTATGTATTTTCAGCTTGGCAACAGCTTTTATTATTCTCACTATCCAAGAGAGGAAAATGTCTCCCAACTATTCCTACTCACGTAATGACATCTTCTACTCAAATTTAGAGACTCCAGACTCACAGCTGTGAACAAATCTTGCAATTACCTGAATGAGGTGGTGCTCCGGTGTGTACAGGTGGTTGAAAATGGCATGATACAGGACCTGCGCCCTGTTGTACTGGAGCAAATCAGCAGCTGGCTGCAATTAGACAAACTACCCAATTAAAAGAAGTTTCGCAGGATTGGCAAAATGCTGGCAATTTTAAAAACTGGATTATGAATACATGGAGGTTCATCATACCACTCTCTCTACTTTTGTGTGTATTTTAAAAGTTCTATAATACAAAGTCTTAAAAAAAAGTTTCTTTGACTTATAGCTTGCACATTTGCGTATAATGCCTTTCAGGTTTTGATTCTTTTGTTCCTTGAAACAGTCAACTGTTAATTATTCAAGGTCTGGTTATTTAATTTGATAATGACCTAAGCCTTCCCATTTCTTCTGTAATTATCCTTTCAGTTATTACAGTACCTACATCATATAACTACCAGGTTGGCAGAGGGAAAGTACAAGGTGGGAAAATATGAACAAGTTAATGTGGTTACCTGGCACTTTAATAGAAAGCGAGTTAATAAAAGATACACAACTTAACAAGAAAAGACAAATAGCCCAATCATAAAATGGGCAAAGGGCTTGAAAAGACACCTCACCAAAGAGGACATTCAAATGGCCACCAAACACATGGAAAGATGCTCAGCGTCATTAGCCATCAGAGAGATGCAAATCAAAACCACAAAGAGATACCATTTCACTCCCACTAGGATAGCTAAGATAAAAACAAAAAACAAAACAAAACAGAACACAACAAATGTTGATGAGGATGAGGTGAAATTGGAACCCTTACCTATTGCTGGTGGGAATGCAAAATGGTACAGCCATTGTGGAAAACAGTGTGGTGGCTCCTCAAAAAACTAAAAACAGAACTACCATATTAAAAAAAAAAAAAAGAAAAAAAAACCGTTGCCATTGAGTTGACTCCGACTCATAGCAACCCCATAGGACAGAGTAGAACTGCCCCATAGGGTTTCTAACGAGCGGCTGGTGAATTCGAACTGTTAACCTTTTGGTTAGCAGGCAAGCTCTGAACCACTGTGCCACCAGGGCTCCAGAACTACCATATGACCCAGCAATTCCCCTCCTAGGTATATACCCAATAGACTTGAAAGCAGAGACTCAAACAGAGACTTGTACACCAATGTTCATTGCAACACTATTCACCAAAGCCAAAAGGTGGACACAACCTAAATGCCCGTCAATAGATGAATGGAACGACCACAGCCTCCACTAAACTGAGTCGAGCACAACTAGATGGTGCCCAGCTACCACCGCCGACTGCTCTAACAGGGAACACTATAGAGGGTCCCGGACAGAGCTGGAGAAAAATGTAGAACAAAATTCAAACTCACACATACAACAAAAAGACCAGACTTACTGGTCTGACAGAAACTGGAGAAACCCTGAGAACATAGCTCCCAGAAACCCTTTTAACTCAGTACTGAAGTCACTCCCGACGTTCACCCGTCAGCCAAAAATCAGACAGGCCTATAAAAGAAACAATCACCAGGTATCCGAGACTCAATGGGTACACCAGCTCAGGGGCAAGAACAAGAAGGTAGGAGAGGACAGGAAAGCTGGATGAATGAAAATGAGGAACTCAGGGTCGAGAAGGGGAGAGTGCTGACACATCACGGGGTTGGCAACCAATGTCACCAAACAATATGTGTATTAATTGTTTTGTGAGAAACTAATCTGATCTGTAAATTTTCACCTAAAGCATAATTTAAAAAAAAAAAAAAGATAAATGGATAAACAAAATGTGGGACACACATAAAATGGAATAGTACACAGCCAGTAGGAGAAATGAAGTCTTGATACATGCTACAGTCTGGATGGAGCCTGAAGACATTATGCTGACTGAAATAAGTCAATCATAAAAGGACAAATATTATATGACCTCACTTATATAAAAAAACAAGAAAAGGCAAATGTATGGAGACCAAAGTTTACTAGTGGTTACCAGGGGGCAGAAGACAGGGAGAAAGAGGGGGTTATGGCTTATGGAGTACTGAGTCTCAGTTTAGAGATGGAACAATTGCATTGATTAAAGGTAGGGTTTGAAAAGCTGGTGACAGTAATTGCTGTCAATAAGTTGTACAACTGTAAAAATTGAACTGGCAAAAGCTGTGTGGTAGATACACTTACAACAATGACCAAAAAAAAAGAGTAGCTGCTGAGGCCGCTTATGTACAACCAAACACCTTGTGGGATTTGGTTCCTTGGTTTGGAGGTTTAGGGTCATGGTTTCATGGGACATCCCAGTTAAGTGGCCTTATATCAGGTTTAGTGCTTCTGTTCCATCCCCTAGTTTGCTGTGTAGTACTTGGGGTCTTAAAAGCTTGCGAGCAGCCATCCAAGGCACAACAATTGGTCTCTATTGGCCTGGAGCAACAGAGGAAGGAGAGGCAAGCACCGGAGGATATGGAATGTGTAGCTGGTCGCCTCCATGTACAACTGCCTCCATCTCCAAGAGACCAGAAGAACTGGATGGTGCCCAGCTACCACTACTGAACATCTTGGTCAAAGATTCCATAGAAGAATCCTGATTAAAATGAGGGAAATGCAGAACAGAATTTCAAATTCTCATGGATTCCAGACTTTCTGGAGCCATAGAGGCTGGATGAACCCCTGAACCTATTGCCCTGAGATAATCTTTAAACCTTAAACCAAAAATATTCCCTGAAGTCTTCTTAAAACCAAACAATAGTTTAGCTTAACTAGTAAAGAACATCTGCCTTGAGCATTGTGCTCTTTTAAAAACTACCTACATGAGATCAAATTGACAACTTGAAAGATTAGAGAGGAAGCTTAGGGGGTAGTAACAACTCAGAAAAGGAGGGTGAGAATGGTTGCACAACTTGAAGAACGTAATCAATGTCCCTGAATTGTACGTGTAGAAAGTGTTGATTTGGTGTGTATTTTGCTGTGTATGTTCTCAACAACGACAACAAAATAAATAAAATAAATTACAAAAATAAATAAATAAATAAAAGATATAAATGGGCAACAATAAAATAGCACTACCACGAATGAGGAACAGCCATGAATGACTTAGTTTGCCCCAGCAAACTAAATGACAGAGAGCAGAGATTTCTTACCACATTAAGCACAATGTGATGGAGGCAGCGTATGCCCAGGATTTTATTCTCAGTTTGATAGTCATCTGAGATAAGCAATGATGGGGGAAGTATCCTTTCCAGATGTTGGTTCAGCCAGGGTCGAGTGACCTGTTGCAGAGTCCATGAGAAAACATGTTTGGTGGCAGGGTTATTTTTCCAGGATTCCCTAAATGGAAACATGAAACCACATTAAGTGATATGGTGTTAAGTAGCAAAGGAAATTGAGCAGCTCAAGCTAAACAGAGTATTTTCTTGACCTTGAAAACCCACAGCCTGCATAATAAAACTCTTTATAACATACAAGATTTGGATCAAAATAACTTTCATAACGTACACAAAATACATGTAATAACCATTCAGGGCTCTGGGTCTAAAGCTAATCCAATGAGAAGTAGCCAAGGACCTATGGGGATGATGGTGGTGGTTATAGCGAAGATGTGTGTATTGAGAAGGAAAAGAAAAATTAATGAAGTATCTCTTATATTAATTATTATTCTCATAAGCGGAAAAAATCAATCAATATTTTAACAATAATTTATAGTTTATAAAGTGAGTTTACACACATTACATAATTAATCCTGAAATAACTGTATAATAGATAATCTTAGCTTTACTTTACAAATAATGAAACTGAGATTCAGAGAGACTGTCTGACCTAGTCCTACCCAGAAGTAATAAAAAGAAACACAGACTCAAAACCAAGCTTTTTACCTCCAAGTTCCTGGTAAAATGACAGTTATGAACGCATTCTTTTCTCATCGCTCCAACACTACAAATATTAACATACAAAGTAGCAAATGGAAACTCACAGAAAGTACTTTGGCTACTAGCAATCTCAAGGGTTTTTATTTCTTCATCCCAAGCATTGCTTTCCTATCTAATAACTCTACCTATCTAATAGCTAGCAACGAGTCCCAAGATCCCCAGCCTAAGCTTAAATCCTCCCCAAACCCCCATCCCCACCTAACTTAAAAAACTTAAATCAAAGCGAGTGGGACAGACTTTCCAATGTACGCCAACAGTTGTCATCAGGAGCAGAAAGAGCACTGAAAAATGGACACGTGAAGACCTGGGTTTTCATCTCTATTTTGCCACTATCTACTTACGTCAATTTAGAGCAAATAACGGCCTTGCTTGCAACACCCTTATTTTACTGATACGGTTGCTGAGTGATGCAAAGCGTTAATGCGCTCAGCCACTAACTAAAAGGCTGGAGGTTAGAGTCCACCCAGAGATGTCAGAAAGAAAGGCCTGGCCATCTACTTCGAAAAAATTAGCCACTGAATATCCTACGAAGCACAGTTCTACTCGGACACCCATGAATCGAAATCCACTCGATGGCTAGTTTTTTATTTTACTGAAGAAGAAAACTCAGGTTCCCTTGAGCTCCAACATTCTAAAACATTAAGCTGAAGCCCGAGTCTGGTGGCCCTTTGGGCAAGAGTACTCACTTATTCAAATCGGGTTTGAGAAGCCCCATTATGACAGTAAATCTCCCTTTCCCGTCTCCGTTTTCTCCGTGGAGAAACCCTGCCACGGAACCACAGTCAGAAACTCGAAGCAGTAAGGAGAGCACCTCTCCAGCAACGTTCTGAGATCTTGGGCTGGTCCAAGGTTGCTCCAGGCTGTGTGTGATGGCGAAAATATAGACGGGTCCTGCCAAGTGATGCAGGCCTGTCTTCCATGCAGGGCAGGCCAGGGAATTCTTGGCAGTTTCAACCTTTCGGAGTAGCTTGAGAAATAGTAATCCAACTTCTGCGGCTTTCTCAGACACCCCAGAGTGACCATCACTTCTAACGCTCTCTTCCGTGGGTGGGGCCGCATAGGTCCCCAGGGCTTTTGCCACCTCCCCCAGCATCTCGGACATTCCGTGGATTGGTGCGCCGCTCAACTCAAATAATCTGCCACATTCTGTAGCTTCGATCAGAGCACTGAGGTCCTGGAAAACTGCATCTCTGCCGTTACCCCGTCGGGCCTCCTGGCGGGTAAGACGGTGCAGTATCTGGGAGAAAGCCTCTCCGAGAGCGGCGGAAGATCGCCCTCCAGGCAAGAAAAAGCTCTCCGGTGGCGGGTTTTCCCGAGCGCTGTCAAGCTCCATTCTTCAGACTGGGGATGGGGGGTAGGGGGAAGGTTGGTCTCTCCCAGAGGACGAGGAAGGAGGCAGGGAGGGACCCACTAAAGAGGAAAGGCAGGATCACGCAGAGTCTAGAACTCTCCCAAAAAACAGAGTAAAACCTAATAAAGTAAAACTCCGAGATGTCCGGGAGGAGGGAGGGGGCGTCTGGTCGGGATAAGAATAATGTGGATGAGGGGCGCGGTGTTTAAGCGCTAGGCTGATAACCGAAAGGTCGGCGGTTCAAACCCACCAGCTGCTCCACGGGAGAAAGATGCAGCAGTCCATAAAGATTTAAGCCTTGGAAACCCTATAGGGTAGTTCTACTCTGTCCTATAGGGTCAGGAATTGGAATCTACTCCACGGCAACAGGTTTGGTTTCGGGTTTGGAAAGCAAGGGACACGGCAAAGTAAAAGGGGTCTCTCTGGTAGTTACAGAGCCTCAGACTCCCAACCGGAGGGAATAAATTACTCTGGCCTTTTGAAAACGCAAAGGAAAACAAACAAAAAACAAAACGAAAGAGTTTAAGGAATAAGCTTCAGAAAATCTACGATAAATCCGCCTGCACCCCTTCCCAGCTATCCTATCCAAGCTACATGTTGCCGCAAAACACAAGGTTGACTTCCGCCAATACTGCCGCAATACTCTGTCGGTTCACGACTTATGGTCGTAAAGCAAGAGCAATGCAGGTTTAGACAAGGGGAGAAAGGTGGAGCTATGGTGAATATATTTGCATAGACAATATTTCTCTCGCTAATTTTATTTTTGTTTTCGTTTATTAACGTGGCAACAAAAAAGAAATCTCAGAATATCGGTGTGATTTTTTTTAAGTGTACTTGATCTTATATGGTAGTACTGAATCTATCTGAATTTCATTTGTCACCCTTTCTTTAAAAGACGGTAACAGATACTCGGGGCTCCCCGAAGAAACTTACTGTTCGATCCTTTTCCGGTTCATAAGCATGATGATTGGGTTTTCATACGTGTGTGTGATATGTGTCTCCCTCAAATCTTGTTACGACACCGGCACATTACCCGTCTGACGTGAGCTGGGAGGGTCTTTTTATAGAGACTGCGTTATAAAAGCTTTAGATTTCATGTTCTGGTGTATTGACGTTACTTTTTAGTGTTATTAGTTGAATAAACTCTTGGGATTTATAAAGACATAAGGTGCGATTCCTGGCTTTCTTGTTGAGTTTTACGCCGAGTGATGCAATAGGTGTTGACGCACGAAGTTTTGGGGTTTTGTTCAGTTTTGGAGTTCTGTTTTGCTTAACCAATTTTCTAAAGTGTATGTTTACTGCTGTAGAGTTGATTTCCACTCATGGTGACCCCATGTGTTATCGAACATCTGTACTTCATAGGGTTTCAAGGCTCTGATTTTTCGCAAATCATCAGGCCTGTCTTCCGAGGCGCCTCTGGGCCTCTGGCTGAGTTCGAACCACCAACTTTCCTTCCAGTAGTCCAGCGCTTACAATTTAGGCTTTTTACAATCTAACTCTAGTGTTAAGCAGTGAGTTAGAAACTACTGCTCTGACTTTCATGATCCCGCGGGGCGCCCAGAGAGGTGGGTCGCCAGGACGGCCGAGCCCAGCTGGGGTCCCGCCCAGCGGTGCGAGCGCCAGGTGCTCCCGGACAGCCGCTCGCCGTACTGGGTCTGGGCGGCAGGCGGCAGGCGACGGCGCCTGGAATAAGCCCGAAAGAGGAGGAGCTTGAGGCTGCAGGAGCTTGCGGGGCGCCTAGATCTTGCAGGTTCAGCGGCGTTCCGGGAACTAACCATCTTGGGTGGGGTGGTCACAAGGCGAGGAGCCAGTCTCACACCGCGTGGGTATTGCTTGTCCCCTTCGCTGCGGATTCCCTGAGGGGGGAGTTTGTGTTCAATTCGCTTTCGGTTCCCCAGAGGCCGGTAATAGAACTGCATTGCGTTCACGTACCGTGGTTTATTCAGCCAGTCCTCTGTGGATGGACATGTGGGTTCAGCAAGCATTTATTGCATGACCAAACTGTGCCAAGCACAGGGGATAAAGGCACGGTCTCTGGCCTCATGGTCTCTGGCCAACCTTGGGAGTTTGTCCGTGACTCTCATATAACTTGCATGATGTCGTCAGCGTCCGAGGAAGGAAACTTTATATTTGCCAAGGCGTGAACGCAAGCTCAGGCACCTGGGCCTTGGACACCGGTGTGTGTGGGGTATCCCTCCTGCCTCCGGGGAAGCGGGTGTTAAGTGCAGTAGAAGATGTCCCTCAAGAGTCCAGGGAAAGCACTGCGGGGTCTTCCAGTCCTGGAGTGGGGTAGGAGTGGGTAGGTGTGTGTGAGTTGGTGGGTGGGTGGGAGTTTCAGTAGTCCGTTGTGCTCTCGAGAAGGTGGCTATGTTGTTGGAGACATAAAGTAATTGCGTCTCGCCTTAGGGCTGGAACGCCCTTCTTTGTACACTGTTTGCAAATATCCTAGCTGCGATTTCTTCTTTCCTTCCTGCTTCCCTGCATTTCTTTCTTTTTGCTGTATGTGACCTTGGGAAAAAGTTAGGTAACTCTCTGTGCCTTAATTTATTTATTGGTAAGATGTGAGTAAAAATAGTCCCTATCTCTTAGGGTTGTTATGAAAATAAAGGAGTTAATTATATGTAAACAATGGCCCATGGTGAAGTCTGTATAGGTGTTAGTTCTTGGTAAACCACAGCTCTTCTGTTACATTTCCACTTTCGGGGTGGGGGGGAGAGTTTTGTGGTTAGGACCCTCCTCTGCCTCCTTCATTTTAGTCTTCCCTTCTCTGACCAACTGGTGGCACTCATGATTTTCTAAGCAATTTCAACCACTGAAAAACCTTTTCCTCTCAAGGGGACTGTCCCATATAAAGGCGCTCATTTGGATGTGGGAGCAAGATGCCAAACAGCAAAACAGTTATTGTATCCCTCCTGTGTGCTAGAATCTCTTCAGGCTCTACACGCCCCTTGTGCAAAGTGGATCCAAGCTCTTACTTGGTTATGAGGAAAGTTCCTGTGTTGTAGAGGTCTCCCTCTCTACACTGTGAGTTTCCTAAGGCCAGAGACCATGCCTGTATCCCAGTGCCTGGCACAATTTAGTCATGCAATAAAAGCTTGTTGAACCCACATGTCCATCCGCAGAGGACTGGCTGAATAAACGACAGCAGTGCACACAATGCAGTTCTGTGCAGCTGGACAAAGGAATGAGGAACTGTCTCTGTGGACCTCCATGGGACTCCAGGATATATTGTCAATTGAAGAACAGCGAGGCAGAGGCTATGTGTATGTTGCCTTTGTGTGAGAAAGCCAGAAGTAGGAAAAATGTGTGCATTTGCTTACATGTTAAAAAAGAAGCAATAGAAATACAAATTTAAAACTAATAAAAATGGTTACATCTTAGAAGGAAGGAACAGGGTGAAGGAAATATGGATGAAAACTGGACTTCCCTGCATATGCTGCTATTTGTAGTTTTGACTTTGGAATCATATAAGGTTTTACATAATTATTTTAAAAAAGAAAACAAGCATAAAAAAATACTCATTAATCTAAGAATATATCAAGTTTCTGGCATAACCATATAGAAAAATAAGAAACTGACTTTAAACCCAACTGGTTGCCATCAAATGGATTCTGACTCCTAAAGACCCTATGGCAGAGTAGAACTACCCCATAAGGTTTCCAAGGCTGTAATCTTTCCTGAGGCAAACTGCCACATCTTTCTCCAGCAGAGCAGGCGAACTTTCAGTTAGTAGCCAAGCGCTTTAACCACTGCGCAACCAGGGCTCCTTAAACTGACTTTAAACTCATTATTTTGACTGTATGTCCTTAGTGTGACATATCCTAAAGACAAAAAAGAATGACAATAACTGCATTTCCTAATAGTATTGCTAGTAATAATATCGGTGTTGTGATTTGGCTACTGTTATGTATATTATATGTATTTTACATATATGTTTGTAAATGAAATAGCAAATAAGTATTTCTCTTAATATTGTCAGAAACCGAGGTTTCTAGTTAAAGAGAAAAGAAATACAAGTATTAAATCAATGAAGTAAGTTCTAAACTCTGTAACCTGAAATTTGAATTGACAATGCCCGTATGAATTCATGACGAACTTTCCGCTTTCTACAAAGTACATGTATTCCTTGCTTTAGCCACTGAAAAGGCCAAGAAGCAATGACAGGCCAATGGCTATGAGCACCCCAGTTTTCAGATTCATAACCTAACTGCCATTTTCCTCTAAGAGGAACCAAGGCTCTTTGAGAAATGGCTGAGTTCAGACCTGGGGCAGGATTGCACAACATACACAAGGTAGCTATCAAATTCTGCTGAGATCGTATAAAATGAACCCAAGAGCCAAGATGAAGGAACAATTTGAGCATCAAAATGAATAATGACTCCAATGGATTGAAACACGTCAAATGTGTACAAATCCATGAATTCATAAGATATTTAAAAAATCCCTTATTGTTCACCTTTGGATCACCTAAGGGGTCAACTCTTTTTTTTATTTTGAAAATTGGTAAATAAGGGGGAAATAACCAAACATATACCCTGCAGTGCTTCCGGGTACCTCAATAGTTAGTGAAGGTAATAAATGCAACAGGTCATTTATTAGTCATGCAACAAATGACTAATACATGACCGGTAGAACAAGAAAGTCACCATTCACAGCTCCTAATGAGGTGTTCCGGCAAGGCAACAATCATCCACAGCTGTTAAAACTATAAGGTGAAAGGTTGATGGAAAGCTTTATGTCTGGATCAGGCTGACAAAATCTGAGCCCAGTGTTTTATCTTAACTTTCCTGGAAGTGAGACAACCATATACCATGAGCCTCCTGCTGCAATGCAATAGGAAGTACAGTACACACACGCACACCAAACAAACCCATTGCCGTCGAGTTGATTCCGACTCCTAGCAGCCTTATGAGACAGAATAGAACTGCCCCACAGAGTTCCCAAGGAGCACCTGGTGGATTTGAACTGCCAGCCTTTTGGTTAGCAGACGTAGCCATTAACCACTA